GCCCGGCCGCGCCTCTCGTCGAGCTCCGGGCCTTAGCCCTTGGGCGCATCCCTCACGCACCTCGGCCTGCCCTGCGCGCGCCGATCTGCTCACCGCTCCCCGCCTCCTTCCGGGCTCCGAGAGCGCCGCAGGGAAGATGCTTCTGGGCGTCTGGGTAAGAATTCATTGCACCCCCTCCTCCTCCGGTTGCAGCTGCCCAGCCAGTATTTATATGATGCCTGCCAGATCCTGGGTACCACCGGGAAGGCACTCGAAACTGAAAGTGAATTGTCCCTGCCTGCCCTCGAGTTGCTTGAAGGTTAACAGAGATTGGACATCTGTTTAAGTAGACTCGGTACAGATTTTATGTGAGAAGGCCATGAGCACAGATGAACCGCTCTAGAATTGGGTGAGGAAGTCCACAGGAGGTCGTGTGTGAGCCAGTTCTGACAGACGATGTGGTTGGGATGTGCGAAAAGTGTATAAAGTAGGAGCCAGCCAGAGCGCAGACAGAAGTCCCAGTGGTAACTTGCCCTAGCTGGTAGCTGGAGCCGACAAGGAAAACAAATACAAGCATGCTAAGACACCTTATTTTGGGGCACGACTTACTTTGATCCCAGCACTCGGGAGGCAGAGGCAGGCGGATTTCTGTGAGTTCGAGACCAGCCTGGTCTACAGAGCGAGTGCCAGGATAGGCTCCAAAGCTACACAGAGAAACCCCCGTGGGGGTGGGGGGGGGGGACTTTATCTTTCTGCAAGCAGATTGTTGATAGAATCTTGCTGTCCTTATATTCAACGGACTCTAGGTTTCTTGTTCCCACCTAATCAAAGTGCTCCTCCACTATCCCATCCAGCAGCTGAGTACCGAGTTATCTTTGACTTCCTTGTGGTTAGGGTTCAGAGGAATTAGGAATAATAAAGGCAAATGCTTGCTGCCAAAGTATGCTTCAGAAAGCCATATGAGAATTTTCTCGTCTTGGACTCCAGAAGTGGAAATTTGACAAACACTTAAAGAACAGCTCTGTACATTTAAAAGGAGTTGGGATATGGGTCTTGGTTTCACAAAGTGACTGTGTTGTTTGCAGGGATGGAATTCGGGGTGTTTTGTGTATGGCTAGGCAAACTGTACCACACAGCCTTATCTCCTACTCAGAGAGTGACTTGACTGTGGGGGAAAAAAGTAATTTTGTGTTGGCCTGGCACATTGGTTATGTCTGATCCTAGAAGTTAAAGGCAGGATATATCCTCAGAGGTGATCACAACTTCACCTAAAAAAATCCAACTCCATAGTATCTAATAGGCAGACAGAATGCACTTAAATGTACATGTCCCTCCCACGATCTATGGGAGACTGCTTACAAGACACCCCTAGTCCCATGCACAGATTGGAAGAATTTGCATGTGAACCTATGCACACGCCTCACATCCTTTATATCAGCTCCACATTAATTATAATGCCCAATACAAGGGCATGGTGTCTTTCCAGGCATGATGTCAATAGCACACACTTGTAATCCCAATACTTCAGACGAAGATGCAGGCTCCCCCAATAAGTTCGAAGTCAGCCAGCTCTATACATCAAGTTCCTTGACAGCCTGAGCTAGAAACCCTTTTTTTAAAGGAGTCATGGGGAGAATGTAAAGTTGTTACACTGTATTACATAGAGTAAGCACAAGAATAAAGCCTACACATGCTCAGCAATCCCTCCCCAATTTCCAATCCAGTTGGCTGAATCCATGGATTCAGAGAACAACTGTTTGCCAGAGGAATTCAAATGTGAGGGTAGCTCTGGTAAAAGTGTTAACTAACAGTTTGGGGTGGGGTATAGGAATAAAGATCTTCTTACCTTTCACTTGAGTTTTGGTGAAAGTCACTTTGTTGTTGTTTAGCATTGTATATGGAAAGCTAGCTAGCCTGCAAATCTCTGGGCTGACTCCTGTCCACCTCCCATGTCACTACAGGAGCACTGGGATTGCAGAAATTACACAAATCTGCTCAATTTTACGCGAGTTCTGGGGATTCAAATTCAAGTCCTCACATTTATGTGACAGTTGCTTTACCCACTGAGCCATCTCCAAAGCTCTGTTCAGCTCAAAATTTTATTCTGGGCTGGAGATTAAAAGTAGTTAAAAGCACTTGGTGCTCTTGCAGAGGACCCACATTCGGCACAACCATAGGGGATACAAGGATAAAAGGGCACACACATGGTTCACACACATACAAGCAGCCAAAACACTCATACACAAAATAAAAATATATTTTTATAAAGTTGCTTATACAAGGGGTTTGGGATGTAGTTCAGTTGGCAGAATGCTTGACTAGCTTTTATGAAACCCTAGGTTCCATCCTCAGCACTGTATACCGTAGGCCTGGGCACTTGCCTGTAATCACAGACAGAACCAAGGAAGCAAAAGCAAGAGGACCAGAAAGAAGTTCAAGGTTATTCTCTGCTCTATCAGTCAGTCTCAGAAAACATCAGTCTCAAGCCCACAGTCATAGTCCCTTCTTGACAACAGCCCTTCTACTATCCAAGTACAGTCTTCATTATACACCAAGTCTTCTCAACCTAATATGAGTGAGTCCCCGGCCCCAGTCTTCCCTGGTCCATTATCCTAAGTTGCTTCAATCATTGCTTCTACATTACTGTCCGGTAGGACTTTGAGGGTTGAAATGTTGTATGTCTGTATTGTTTGGGACAGTACCTGCTGGCCACATGAATGAATGCTAGAAAAGCTGCTGGTATGATTGAGGAACTGAGTTTTTGTTTTGAGTAACTGCTCTGTGTAACTGGTGGCAACCACACTAGAAAACTCAGCCATACTTTCACATCCCTTCTCCTTATTGATCATTCTTCCTTAAAATGCATTCATGCTTGTCAGCATCCCTCAGATACCTGGTACCTACAGAGTGACCAGCAGGGCTTTCAGGCAGACTTATTTATTAGCACCTGAACATTTCTATTCTCCAAATGGAAGTTTAAGTTTCCTGGGAATATAAATGATTTACATTAGTGGTTACTAAAACTAGTATTTTGTCAGAAACACTACCCACTAAATTTATGTAACATTTTTTTAACTGCTATATGACTTGATATTTTTAGCTTTTTGTGCCCAGCAGTGTAGGTACTCCAGATTACCACGTTAAAACCCATTTCAAAGTAGTCTGGTATACCAGTCACCCTTTCCAAGTCTGTGGTACTTACAGTTGTGGCATTACTACAACTGATCTGCAGATAGCCTTTTACAGTTTGCAAGGCACTTTTATACTCAATGTATTTAATCTGATTCTGACAATAAACTCATATGGTAGGTAAGATGTGAAAGTACACATACACACACACACACACACACACACACACACACACACACGTTAAGACAGGGTCTTATGCAGCTAAGGCTAGCCTCTTACTATGTAGTCAGAGATGACTTTAAAATTCCTGACCCTCTTGCTTTCATGTGCTAAGATTACAGGCATGGCACATCATGTCTGTGCAGAACTTTATTTTATATGTAATGTGTGCACATGTGAAGGACAGCTCCCGAGAGCAGATTTTTCTGCCACCTGTGGGATGTAGGGATTGAACTGTGTTCTTCAGGCCTGTGCCCAAGTACCTCTATCCACTGAGCCACGTGTATAGCCTATAATTTTTATTCTATACATGAAGCAGCTGAAGTGTAGCAGGAACTGAAGAGATGAGTTACATTTTCTATTTCATTTAGCATCATCTTGTATCTAAGTCTTCATTCGAGTCCTTGATAGAAATGATGGAGAGGGTCCATGTCAGGTGGCTCAACATGCCCAGTGACCTTCAAATCTTTTTTTCTTTTTTAGGATTTATTTATTTATGCATTTGTTTTTTAAATTTGAGTGCTCTGTCTGCATGTACGTCTGCATGCCAGAAGAGGACTATAGATGGTTGTGAGCTACCATGTGGGTGCTGGGAATTGAACTCAGGTCCTCTGGAAGAGCAGCCTGTGTTCTTAACCTGAATCAATGCTCCAGCCCCAGACCTTGAATTCTTAAACATCAATAACTGGCCCAGGTCACTTCTACCTACAAGTGGTAATCTAACCCACATGCTGCAAGTAATGTGCAAAAGGACAGTTCAGGACAGTCACAGACCAACTGACATAATGTAACATTAGACCAGGCATGGTGAGACATACCTTTTAATCCCAGCACTTAGGAAGCAGAAGCAGGAGGATCTTGAGATCCAGGCTACCATCTGCTGCAAAGTAAGTTCTATGCCAGTCACAGCTACATATAGTGAGCCCTGTCTTAGGATAAATAAATAACAGTAGTACCATGAGAGGGAAAAAAAAACTTCCAGAAAACAAAATGTAGTTGTCTGTATCAACAAAATGGCTGCCATACAAACTGCCTAAAGAAGCTAAGTACCCTCTCTTGCAAATCCTGAGGCCTACAATTCTTAGCACATCCTAACCCACCTTGTAGATGTTTACATGTGTCTCATAATAAATGAATCTTTACCAAACCAGCACTTTAGCCCAGTGCTACCCATCCAGGAGACACTCAAATCTTTAAGAAGAGAATCTGTCCAGCTGAAAGAATTCCAGCAGTAGCTGGCCATCCTCCAGAAACAAACTTGTGACTGGAAGAAATGCAGACCATTGCCACAATCCTGCCAACATGACTGATTACAATGCCCTTGTAAATGGCTTGGTCAGAGTTTCCAGAAGGTGCCAGTGGCCTCAGCTGGTTAAACCAGCTTTGATTGGATGTGTGCTGTGATCAAAATTAAAGACAGGCTCCCTAACAATAAGGATAGAAGGCATGAAATGCAAGGACTCCAGTGTCTGTGAGTGAGGAAAGTAAGTGATCAACAATACATCTGACTCTGAGTCTTCCCAGAGAAAGGAGAAAGAGCCTGATGTAGTGGTGATGCCTATAATCGCAGCATTCAGAAGTTGGAAGCAAGATGATCAGGACTTCAAGGCCAGCCTGGGGGTACATGAAACTGTCCCCTACCCAAAAAGAAAGAAGAGAACTAACAAAACAAGTGGTACTTTACCATTTACACATCTTTCATGTACATTCTCTCGTTTGACCTCACAACAACCCTGTGAGGTAGGCAGCACAAGTTCTCATGGTACAGACAAGAAAGTGAATCTCCAAGCCATTAACTGACCTGCCCAGTTAGCAACAAATTCATATAAATATCAGTCTTTGGCCTAAAAATTCAGCACCCAACCTCGCCTCATACTTGCCCTACCTACTTCACAGGGATAATAAAGATAAAATTAATTCGAGGCTCAAAAAATACCTTTGAGGGGCGGAAAAAGCACTATATAATTACATATTATAATCATCTGTGACATAATGGTTCATCCCCCTTTCCGTCCCAGCTGGTGCATGAACCCAGAATTTTATATTATCTCTTCTGTGCTCAACTAAGGAACTAACTAAGTAAGGCAGGGTAAGAGTGTAGTCATGTTGGAAGCTATGTAAATTACAATCAGGATAGCTGCAGCATTAAGCAAACTGAAAACAACACAGACTACTGTGCAACCAGGACACACTAAAGCACACAGCACAGCAAGGCAGCATTATCAGATGGGCATGATTGCATAGAAAGAAAATGTGGTGTCAGAGTTCACACTGGCACACACAAGTTATCTAAGGCAAAGTGGTGGCAAAGAAGAGTTCTTTGTTCCATATTATATAAAGGAGCAAGACGCATGGGGATCCATGCAGAAGCATCATACATCACAAATCTGTCCAGCTGTCTACTGGGTATACACTGTCAAGAATGAGTGTGCCTACTATGCTCAAGTCCTCAACCAAGGAATAGCTCCATGTTAAATCTCCTAGTTAAAATACAACCAGTACCATCATTCCTAATTAGATAATAAATAAGATGTCTTTGAAAGTGAAAAGTTAAGTGGCTCTTTAGCTTTGCTCCAATATTTGCCTTGGATTCTCCTGCTTTAAGACCCAAAGAAAGTTATATTGAGTTTTTATTGGTGATTCTATGTATATGTGTTTATAACATTAAAGTGTGATGAGTGGATTTAACATATTAAAAGTTTATAGCATCTTTTCAGGAAAGATTATATACTATACAAGCTATTCAAGTGATACAAAACCAGTTTTCAGTGTCTTTTCAACTGAGAAGAATCCTATTCAGCACGCTTCTCCTCCTGAGGTGGCTCATACTGAGCAAGCTATGGGGCAAAGACAGAGGATTTAGGTGAATTTTATTTAAATTGGGTAAAAAACTTAGTAACACAATGAAATTAGATATTATATTCAACTTAGTTACTGAGTCAGTAATCAATTCTGAACTTATCCTTCTTAAACCATTTGCTTACTTAAGATTGAGTACAATTAAAACTAACAAAATCCCTTTTTGTATAAACCGTTAGCATTGCTGGGAACTAAACTTTAGTTTCAAATCAAATACTAGGTACATAACAGTCTATCTTCCCAAAATTGCCACGCAGTATAATAATAGAGCTATCTTGTCCTAAAAATAGATGAAGAGTTATGTGAATCAGCCAATGAAAAGTAACTAATGTCTGACTTTTAAAAGTACCAGCAGGGATTCCCAGCACTGGGGAGGCGGATCTGAGTTCAAAAAGCCAGCCTGATCTACATAGAGACTACTAAGTATATATCTCAGTATCCTTGATAATCTAAGACACTGCATTTCCTTTTATAAAAGCTTATGGTTCCTTACAAGAACACTGAACTTCAGATTTGACTTCTTTCAATTAGCTGTCAGACTTGGAAAGTGTATCATGTAGTTCAGAATGTGGTAAGCCTCAAAGACTTTGAGTTGATGTTCAAGTTTATGGGAGTTTGAACAAAGGGAAAACTTCAGCTCTAGATAAAATCGAGTACAGTTTACTCCTGCCCTTGTGAACTGGGAGCCAGTACACAAGACTGTGCACTGCCCCCTTCTAGGTGCCCTTAACAAAGCAGTGGCCTAGACTGAACTAAACTGCCTGAAGTACCTACTTTAAGCCTTTTTATTGATACATGTTTTCCAATTCCTTCTTCTTGACCACACTTTGCTTATCCTATTTATTGTTGGTCTCAGGATTTTTCTAGATGAGGCTTAAGTTTGCTATGCATTTGACTCAAACTGACACTGTCCCTCCCTGCTGCCCATTTCGTGAAGTTTTGGGTTTAGTTGTACTCTGGTTCTATCATGTTACAGATAGAACCCAGGACCTTTGCACATGCCAGACAGATGCTCTAACACTGAGCTCTGTCCCTGGCCTGTAGTAAGGATCTGGTCAGATAATCATTAGAGACAAGATTTTTTTTAATTTGAACTTCTTTTTTAAATTTACCTTTGCTTTCAGTTTTTTATTTTCTTCTACAGAAGCTTCATATTTCTCTTTCATTTCTGCCAATTCTAGACGAAGCAGCTCTATTTCTGGGTTTTCCGGGGTGGCAGCTCCTAAGTGATGCTTTAAAAAACTAACATCAGTGTTAAGAATGTACTCACAGAAGAATGAGGCTGGGGGGAAAGTCACCCACCACACCACTAGTAGTTATCCAAGGTCATGTGAAGATTCAAAAGAACTTTTCAATAAACAAAAGTATTTAAAGCTTATGTATTTGAAAACTTAAAATGTCAAAAAATATGGCCTTTTTGACTTCAGAGATGAAAAGGATACTCCAGAGCACTGGTGGGCTTCTCTGGTTCTTCATATAAGGCTACCAACACTGCAAACCAAAGAGAAAGAAAAGCAATGAAGTCTTAAGTGTAGATGGCTGCAATATTCTGAAACTCAGTAAATACTGTATGGCAAGCAGATTGCTAAGATTGCCTATACAGAGGTGAGTAAGTCAGTGTTCTTACTTGCAACAAATTTACAGTCCATTGCAAAAGACAAAGAATGCAGAGAGTATTGAACTGCAATAGTGGTTACTGAGTTTCGGAGTGAGATTGGAGAAATACTTAGCATCAGAGGCAAACCTGAAACATAGCTGTGTTTCAGATAAAAATGGGAACTAATGTGTCAAGTACTTTGTGGGTAATAAACAGAAAAGTAGTCTAGGGTCGGACAATGGAAAACTGAGAAAAGCTTAGTTGAACTTTGGTCCTAAGTGCTACAAGCATATTTTCAACAGTTTTAAAGCAAGGGGGGTGGCAAGATCATTCGTGACTGCTGTATGCAAGACTGACTGAAACTGGACATGGAAAACGGCAGGACAATTAAGAAAGTTGGGTGTGGTGGCCCACGCCTGTAATCTCAGTACTGAGGAGGTGAGGCAGAGGGATAAGGAGTTTGAGGCCATTCATGGAAAAGCAATGAGCTACTGGCCTGGGATACAAAGAACCCTGTCTTTAAAAAACAAAAAAATTCTAATGTAATCTAACTAAAGAAATTTAAGTGTTAGGTAATTAACTGAAGCATTCCACTCAGAATATTCAAGAATTAAGTTTTATGTATAACAAGCTAGGCACCAACCAAAAATGTTTCCAGTAATCAAAATGCTCAGATTGGCATTTAAAAATGTTTTAGTGCCTCATGTGAACCCTGTCTCACTCAACTACTGAACAAATCCTCCTGGAATTCAATATTCAGATGGCAAGTTCCAGTGCTGAGGACCCTTTTAAAAAAATCTCCTGCGTGTGTAGACACCTGAACCTGTGTGTAATTAAGACAGGTAACCCAAGCTTGCCTAGAATTCACTATGTAGCCCAACCTCAAACTCATGGCAATCCTTCTGCTTCAGTTCTCCCACAAGTGTGTGTCATCACACCCAACTTTGACAAAAGCAAAAAATGTAGCTGTTCAATGTGTATAACTTTAAGAGTCCAAATTAAGAAATCGTGTTCTAAACCAATTTACATGTCCTCCTGGTTTTTAGAGTTTTAATTTAAATACTGTATGAAAAACAGCAAGTGAGTGGGTACTTTTAACTTACACTAAAATATACAAAAAGTTTTTGAAAAATTGACACATTGATACCATCACTATCTGCCAATCTCTTAGTATGTTACAACACTCAATTCCCTACCTATTGCTTTTTTTAATTACATATTCAAAACTGTTTCTTCCATTTACTCCGATGATCAGAACTGAATTTAAGCTTTACTTTAAAAAAAAAAAAAAACTGCATCTCTCTAGGAAGTCTAGCTGTCCTGGAACTATGTAAACTAGGGTGGCCTTGAACTAAGAGAAATTGCTTGTGTCGGTGACTGATGGGATTAAAGACATGCACCACCAAGCCAGCTAGAATCTACTTTTTTTTTTTTTTTTTTTTTTTTTTAAATTTTTGAGACAGGGTTTCTCTGTGTAGCCCTGGCTGTCCTGGAACTCATTCTGTAGGCCAGGTTGGCCTCCAACTCAAAAGATCCTCCTACCTCTGCCTCCGGCGTGTTGGGATTAAAGGCCTATGCCACCACTGCCCGGCTAGAATCTAAACTTTTATAGGTGTGGCTATTAACGCTCTTGTCTTTTCCTTCCATTATTCCTTCAGCTTCCAAATGCCCATTGGTGGTGCATGCAAGGCTGATGCTACAAAGTGTTAAGTTTCTTGTGCTTTTCTATGAAGTGATTGTACTTCTTATCTGAAGAGAATTCAACCAAATCATATTCCCTTTTGCTTTAGCAGCTAGATTTATTTCTATTAGTTAAATATGGGGGAGGAGGGACCAGAGGACACATTTCAGGACACATTCTAAACCCGCCTCCTGCCATGTGAGTTTCAGATATCAAACTCAGGTCCATCTAGCTTGGTAGCAAGCACCTTCACCTGCTGAGCCTTGCTGGCCCCTAGCAGCCAGGTTATTTAAAGCCAAATATTTTATAGGTTGATATCATGCTCAAAATAACAAAATGTTACTCCAAATCATTTGTTACCCATCCACCTTATTTATGGATGTTTTTCTCCAGAGGGTTTTTTGTTGGTTGGTTGGTTGGTTTGGTTTTTTGTTTTTAAGATGTAGTCTAGCTCTAGCCCAGGTTGGCCTCAGACTCAAGCAGGCGTTCTACTTCAGCCTGTCAAGTACAGTTAGAAATAAGACAAGATGCCTTGCTCGTTGCATGTTCCTTAGACACTTTGTGGCAAGGTCTTTCACTGGAGCTTGGATTCTTTTAGCTAAACTGGCAGCCGATAAGCCTTGAAGATCACCCTGTCCCGTCTCTCCCACTTCCCCAAGCACTGGAATGACACACAGAGACCCTGTCTGGCTTACTATATGAGCACTAGTATTCTCAACGGTGGTCCTTATGGTTGTGCATCAAGTGGTCTGAACCTCTGAGCAATCCCTCCAGCCTAGCTCTAATTTGCTTTTTTGAGGCAGGTCTTGTTACATACCCCAGACAAGCAGTGAATGCAACATCCCCCTTCTCTCACTAAAGCACTAAAAACGTGTCACCATGCCTTACAGTGTTTTGACATTAAAAACTATTTGTATAAATCATTTATGTTTGACCCTTTAAGGTTTTTTTTATTTTTTTCCGGGAGCTGAGGACCAAACCCAGGGCCTCGAACCACTGAGCTAAATCCCCAACCCCTAAAATTAAGTTTTCAATTGTATCAGTAGATACTATGCTGTCAGATGCTATGTAGGAGACTAGAATTTTAAAAGACTGAGGTTGGGAGCACACAAAGTTTTCCACTCTCTTACACAGCCTGAAGGCTGCACGTCTTCTCTGTATTCTGTTATCTCCAACTATCCTCCACCCACCTTTTACAGCTTTTCTGTCCACTTGCTGCATCCAAACCCCTACCTACTCTCTCTCACACACACACACACACACACACAGAGAATACCTGGGACCAGCAGTATTTCAGTGTTTATCTCGAATTTGGAGTATCTATACATACATAATGAGATATCTTAGGGATGAGATCCAAGCCTAAACATGAAATTCATTTACATTCCATATGGACCTTAAATACATAATGTGGACATGACCTTATACAAGCAAATATATTCCTCGGCTCCTGAATTTTGACTGATATAATTTATGCAGACAGGTATGGGATTTTCCATATCAATGCTCAGGAACTTACAGGCTTTGGAGCAATTTAGATTTCGAATTTTCAGATTAAGAATACTTATCTGTACTTTCGATTCTGTTCAAAGGTCTTCCCTCTACCACTCAAAGAAAAGTGTCACATCTTTATCCCCTAGTCTTGCAATTGTTTAAGTTATACATTTACCACTAGCCGGCACTGTGTCTTATTATGTGTGTCCCTAAGCTACAAGCACCTGACAGTGGGGACATTTCTACCGCTGTATCACGTGGTGCCCAGGACACAAGACTGGAATAAGATCATTACATGAAAAAAACAAACATGAGGGTTTTGGTTTTTGTTTACCAGAATTCCAAAATCTGTAACACTTCCGAGGCCACAGAGTACAGTGGCTTCCCACAGTACTTCTTACAATTTGCTCACATTGACTTGCAAAGATACAGGAAATTAATATCTAAGTCGAAAGTAGGTAGTAATCCAAAGTTGTCAGCTCATCCATGTGAGGGAATTAAAAGCCCTGCTTTCTGCTAAATTCTCCCATAAATTCCCCTAGCCTTTGTTTCCCAAAAAAGCAGATACAAATGATTTCCTAGACACTTCCCATTCTCAAAAGGACCAAGGTTTCAACCCCTGACAGCAATTCCATTCTAACCCCTTGAAAGCACCAGGCAATGTTATGTTGAGTAACACGTAGCAGGTATTCCGTATACTGTCTGTCAAGCTAGTTCAGCTTTATTATCTCTGAGGGTCCCTTTGGTTTTCTGTCACCATACTCTCTAACCTTACACCCAGAAAGGAAGGGATATATTTTAACAGTAAGCTTCAATTTTTAAGGTTAAAAAATACACTTTTATGTGCTCTGACGCTCTTAAGAATCTAATTCTACTTTAATTATGAGATCTACACAAAGTAGGAATTACTACAGGCTGCAAAGAGTTGAAAAGCCACAGCCCAAATTGTCTACGATTCCCCAGCTTTGAGGACCAGTAATAACCGTTTTTCAAACCTAGTAATTTTCTTAGTTGCCTTTTGTCCAAAGGAAAATGTGTAAGATCCCGCACACTCTAAGGCGGGAGCAATTGGGATCTTAAGGTCTCCTACTATCGTGTCCACTGCGGCTGCTCGAGGGAAAGCAACGGAAGTTGGAGAGACTTTGCAACAGCTGCAAGAGTTTCTGTCCCGGGCAGAGAGCGGCCACGGGG